TATATATAAAGTTATTTTTCTTAACGTAATCTGTGAAATAAAGTCTAAAAAGGATAAATACATTGAGATCACATAATCTGGTGACTGGAAACAATTTTATTTTTTATGTATTTACGGTATTGACAATCGTAGGCGATTTAAGACTATATAGTATAGATGATACGGTAACCGGCCAAAAAAGCGATAAAAAATAGCGAAAAAAAAAATAACGAAACTAAATAATATATCGAATGTTTAAAGGAAAACTCTCGTTTTTATAGTAAATATTAAACAGAGAATAAGGAAAAACTATAAATAATAATATAATCTTTATTAGTCTGTCATTATTATTGTGACTCAATCTAATATCCGTTATCGCTTTTATCGTAAATAGTGTAACCGTATACCTAAACTATATTATAGACATCATATAGTTTTAAGCGACGTTCGACAACGTGACGATCGTTGACAAAGTGCTGTGCTTATTATATTTTATTCCTTATATTCTATTTGAATTGTATATTTTAAATTAAATTTCGTTCCAGATATATGCAAATTAGAAGTAAAAAAAGAAGTTGAGAGAATGAAATCCCAAGCACTATCGTCACAAGATAACCCTCAACAAATAATCGCTTCATCACAATTAAATCCAGTGATATCAGGTGCATTATCAGGTGAAATAGGTATCTAATTTAAAACACACGTTAAGAAGAGTACGCCAACGTAATGATTGTGCACCGCCGAATCCTCAGTCACTTTTTAACCTTCAAATACCTGAAAAGTATACTTTAACTAAGGATGGAAGGCAATTCATGCAGTACGATAGCGGTCCATATCAGATTAACGTATTTTAATATTTTTTACTAAAGAAAATCTAGAATTAATGGAAAAATGTAATTACGGGTTCGTTGATGGTACATTTAAGTGCACTCCGACACTCTTCACTCAAATTTATATAATACATGTATTGACAACCAATTCGTTGATTCCTACTGTTTACGCTTTATTACCAAACAAATCACAAAAAACATATGTAGGTAATACCTACACCTCTTTAATCAATTAAAAAAAAATTAAATAAACTTTATCACCAAAATTAATTATGTCAGATTTTGAAATGGCATCAATTAATGCATTTAACGAAGTATTTCCAAATGTAAAACAAAAAGGATGCCATTTCCATTTTTCCCAATGTATTTGGCGTAAAATACAACAAATTCAATATATGGCCCAAAAATATATATCAGATTTGACATTTTCATCACAGATACGGCTCTTATTAGCATTAGCATATGTACCAGAAAATCATGTGATAGATGCGTTTGAAGAATTAATAAACTCACTATATTACACAGATAACGAAAACATTTTACAACCACTTATTGACTATACTTTGAAGACACCTGGATAGGCCGCCCAATGGGTCGAAGAAAAGGTCGTAGATTACCAAAGTATTCAATTAGTTTATGGAATTGTTACGAATCGGCAAGTACTTTATTGCCAAGGACTAACAATGCATAGAGGTTTCAGTTCATTAATTGGTTAGTTTTTTAAAATATATTTAAAAAAATATTTTATTAAATTTATATTTTAATTCAATACAATTTATAATGTAATATTAACTATTTAAGGTGCATATCATCCAACAGTATGGACATTTATCGATGTGTCAAAATATCAGCAACATTTAGAGGACATTAAACAGGAACAGATCATTGCTGGTGCCAAAAAACATCAAAAAAAGAAATATAAAAATTGTTCAGAAAAAATACGTAATTTAACCTTATCTTACAATAGGTACTAACGACAATATTAATTATTTAAAAGGTATCGCTTACAACTTTACGTAATAACTCTACAAATGTAACTATGATTTTGTGAATATTTTTTTATATTATATTTTTATGCTTGTACTTATTAAAATAATATTTTTCGCTATTTATGATTTCGTAATTATATAAACTTCGCTTTTATTTTTTCGATATTATTATGGCCTATAATCGATGATATGTGTACCAAACAAGATGAAATTATTTAATCATTTATGCACGCATTCATTTTGAAATCAATGAACCATATTATTATATATTGGTTCCTATACGAGTCGTTATTAAAATCAGTCCGACTGACGATGAGTCGGGTATTTGTACTACACACAGACGCATCGATGTTTTCGGATTTCTCACCCAGATCAGTATTAACCCTAAAGAGCAGGGGTCAGGAATCTGCGGCTCTTTAACATGTAATCCATTTGAAAAATCAATCAATTTATCGAGAACCGTAAAATACAAATTTTATTTTAGAAATATAGCAAAATACTATAACCACGCTATAGAGAAAAGAAAAAAAAGGCACAGGAACAAAACACTCTGTGCAGCTCTCTGGACATCATGGTTTAGTAACTATTTAAAAAGAATGGTTCTCTCCCACGAAAAGGATCTTGACCCCTGCCCTAAAAGATCAATGATACTTGGTGATCCAGCCAAACGCAAACAGTGTGCGTACTGCACATGATGAATACTAATATATATTATATACCTTTTCCAGTGACCAGCTCTGTGACCAAAATAATACCCATGTGATCATATACCATCAGTATACATGTCATATGAGATGTAAGATATACTTTGGCATATAAGAATTGTGACGTTTATGACTTTTTTTTCTTTTTTTTATTAGAAAAGAAAATATACAATCTGTAATATAGTTTATGACTTTTACATGTTTTTTTCTTTAATCGGCCACTTTTCAGATATTATAATTTTTTCAAATTATTATCAATATAGTACCTATGACATAGAATCAGTAACCTGTATTAAATTGTATTTTGTATTTTTAGAAATTTTTAGTAATAAATGCTTTATTTTTTATTATCTAATTMGGTACGGAAAGTTATTTGTAAATATTATAAAATGCCTGTTTTTTGTATTGTTTAATTAAGATGTCGATGAATATTTTTAAAAACTTTTTATGATTAAAAAATAATATAAGTACCTACAACAGTATTAAAAATA